ACTAACTTCAAACAATAACATTAGAGGAGAAAAACTGCATTCCCAACTCAAGAAAGCCACTAGCGTTCATCTCAAAACCCAGTGCTGAGTTACCTGGTGGCCAAAGCAAGGAGGTTGATGAAGTGGGTTTCACAGTTTTAGACTGGCGGTTCAGCAGGAGGGCCAAAGGGTTCTCTATGTGTGAACAAGATTCTGTTTTTATTCATTTATGTGTCTATTCACTCATTCAACAAATATTTATTTACCCACTACTATCTATGAGCCCTAAAGGAGATCGGTCCTGGGTGTTCATTGGAAGGACTGATGCTGAGGCTGAAACTCCAATACTTTGGCCACCTCATGCGAAGAATTGACTCATTTGAAAAGACCCTGATGCTGGGAGGGATTGGGGGCAGGAGGAGAAGGGGACAACAGAGGATGAGATGGCTGGATGGCATCACCGACTCGATGGACATGAGTTTGAGTAAACTCCTGGAGTTGGTGATGGACATGGAGGCCTGGTGTCCTGCGATTTATGGGGTTGCAAAGAGTGGGACACGACTGAGCGACTGAACTGATCTATGAACCGAATGTCAGGCACAGGAATACAATGGTAAACAAACAAAAAAAAAAGGCACATGCTGTCCTCATGGAGGTTATTCAGTGGTTTTTTAGAACAAAATTGTCAGCCCTCAATGTTCACTTTTCCCTTGAGCCCATTCTGAGTCAGAACGCTCATACCTTGCTCTGGTTTTCCTCTCATCCTGTTTTGCATCAGAATCATAGAAGGTGATGACATTCTAGGTGCAGGGAACCCAGGGGTTCAGTAGAGACCAGATCTTTGTATCAGAATTTTCAGGAAAACCAACATGGGAAAATAGGCTATGGTAAAGGAGGTGGTTCCCCATCCTTGGGGTGTCCCCGGCGCATCTTTTCTGAGTTCCACTCTGGGGGTTGGGAATCTAATGACTTTGCTTCTTCTGTCTGCTCCTTGTGCTCAGTCCCTTAGTTGTGTCTGACACTCCATGGACTGTAGCCAGCCAGGCTCCTCCATCCATGGGATTCTCCAGGCAAGAATACTGGAGTGGGTTGCCATTTCCTCCTCCAGGGGATCTTCCTGGCCCAGGAATCGAACTCGCACTGTAGGTGGATTCTTTACTGCTGAGCTACTGGGGGAGTCCCCATTTGCTCCTCTTCTTTACTTTTTTTATTTGATTGCATCTGGCCTCTATTGTGACACGTGGGACCTTTGTTGAGTCGTGCAGGATCTCCAGCTGTGGTGTGGGGCTCCACAGCATGGAGGCTCTTGAGTTGTGGCACTTGGGCTCCAGAGCATATGGGCTCAGTACGGGCTCCAGGGGATGTGAGATCTTAGTTCCCTGACCAGGGATCCAACTCGCATTCCCTGCATTGAAGGTGGATTCTAAACCACTGGACCACCAGGGAAGTCTCCTGCTCCTATTCTTAACATCCTAGTTCTTCAACACTAGTCATGTGGGAAGTTCTTATCAATTGCTTTCTTATTAGTTGGATGGATGGGTGGACTCATGGAGGGATGTATAGATGAATACATGGATTTGTGGAAGGATGACTGGCACATAGGAAGGATGTGTTAGATGAATGAGAGAATGGAGGAAGAGAAGGTGGGTGAGTGGGACCAGTAAATGGATATATGGATGGAAAGGCACCTGGCCCTTAGTAAAGGCACAAAATTATTATTATGAAAATATTCTTAGTGTGGTAAAATACACATATCATAAAATTTATCACCTTAACCATTTTTAAGCATACAATTCAGTGGTATTAAATACATTCACTTGACATGGATTGTGCAGCCATCACCACCATCCTTCTTCATAACTCTTCTCATCTTCTAAAACTGAAATTCTATATCCATTAAACACTAATTCACTTCTTTCCCTCAGCCCCAGCAACCACAATTTTATCAATACTTTCTGTCTTTACGGCTTTGACTATTCAGGGCTTCCCTGGTGGCTCAGATGGTAAAGAATCTGCCTGCCGTGAGAGAGACCCAAGTTCAATCCCTAGGTTGGGAAAATCCCCTGGAGGAGGGCATGGCACCCCACAGCAGTATTCTTGCCTGGAGAATCCCATGGACAGAGGAGCCTGGTGGGCTACAGTTCTTGACTACCCTAAGTTCCTCCAATAAGTGGAACCATACAAAAGGAGCATTTATTCTTTAGTCGTTGGGTTATTTCTGTGAGCATAATGCCTTTAAGTTGCATCCACATTGAAGCATGTGTCAGAAATTTTCTTCCTTTTTTTTAAAAAAATTCTTTTTATTGTAGTATAGTTTATTTTCAACGTTGTGTCCGTTTCAGGTGTACAACTAAGTGAGCTGGTTATACTTATGTGTGTGTGTGTTAAGTCACTGCAGCCGTGTCCTACTCTTTGTGACCTTGGACTGTAGCCCGCCAGGCTCCTCTGTCTATGGGATTCTCCAGGCAAGAATACTGGAGTGGGTTGCCAAGCCACTCCCAGGGACGGAAAATACATCTCTTATGTCTCCTGCGTTGGCAGACAGGTTCTTTACCACTGGCATCACTTGGGAAGCCTTATACACTGGATATATACCCAAAAGAATTGAAAGCAGGGTCTCCTTTTAAGAATTTCCTTTTAAAGGCTGGACAACATTCTGCAGTTTGGATGGACTGCCTATCCATTCATCTGTTGATGGACACTTGGGTTACTTCCACCGTTTGGCTATTATGAATAATGCTGCTACGAACATGGGTGTACAAATGTTTCTTTGAGACCCTGCTTTCAATTCTTTTAGGTATATATCCAGTGGGCTTCCCAGGTGGTGCTAGTGGTAAAGAACCCACCTGCCAATGTAGGAGATGTAAGAGATGAGGGTGGTTCGATACCTGGGATTGGGAAGATCCCCTGGAGAAGGGCGTGGCAACCCACTTCAGTATTCTTGCCTGGAAAATCCCATGGACTGAGGAGCTTGGCAGGCTACAGTCCATGGGGTCACAAGAAGTCAGACACGACTGAAATGACTTAGCAGGTATAACCAGAAGTGGAATTGCTGGATCATGTGGTAATTCTATTTTTAATTTTTTTTTTTTTTGAGGAACCATCATACTGTTTTCCACAATGGCTATACCATTTTACATTCCCACAGCAGTTCATAAAATTTCCCGTTTCTCCACATCCTGGCCAACCCTTGCTACTTTCTGCTGTTTTGATAGTAGTCATCTGAGGAGGTGTGAGGTGGGATCTCATTGTGGTTTTGGTTTTCATTTCCCTAATGATTAGTGATACTGAGTATCTTTTCATGTGCTTTTTGGCCATTTATTTAGCTTCTTTGGAGAAATGTCTACTCAGGTCCTTTGTTCATTTTTGAATTGAGTTGTTTGGTGTTTGTTGTTGTTGAGTTTTAGGAGTTTCCTATATATTCTGGATACAAATACCTATGTAATCTGCAAATTATATCAGCTTTATGATTTGCAAATATTTTCTCCTATTCTGTGGGTTGCCTTTTTATTCTGTGGATAGTGTCCTTTGTTGTGCAAAATTTAAACATTTTCGTGAGGTCCAGTTTGTCTATTTTTTGTTTTTCCTGTAGGCACAATATTACTTTAAAAATAAAGCTAACAGTGAATGAATTGACAGATGGATGAATGAGTGGGCAGGAAATAGAGGATTGTACAGTCAAATGGGGGATGGATGGGTGTCCTTCACTATCTCCTGGAGTTTGCTCAAATTCATATCCATGAAGATGGAATTCATGTCCATGATGTCAGTGATGCTATCTAACTATCTCATCCTCTACCACCTCCTTCTTCTTTTACCTTCCATCTTTCCTAGCATAGGGTCTTTTTCAATGAATCGGCTCTTCTCATCAGGTGGCCAAAGTATTGGAGCTCCAGCCTCAGTATCAGTCCTTCCAATGAATATTCAGGACTGATTTCCTTCAGGATTGACTGGTTTGATCTCCCTCAGTCCGAGGGACTCTCATCTTCTCCAGCACCACAATTTGAAAGCATCAATTCTTTGGCACTCAGTCTCCTTTATGGTCCAACTCTCACATCTGTACATGACTACTGGGAAAACCATAGCTCTGACTATACAGACTTTTGCTGGCAAAGTGATGTCTCTGTTTTTTAACACACCGTGAAGTTTTGTCATAGCTTTCCTTCCAAGGAGCAGGCATTTTTTAATTTCATAACTGCAGTCACCATCCGCAGTGATTTTGGAGCCCAAGAAAATAAAATCTGTCACTGTTTTCACTCCCCCCCCCCTTCTATTTGCCATGAAGTGATGGGACAGGGATGGATGGATAAATAGATGGTGGTTGGTGGATGAAGGGATGAATGGATGGAATGGGAGTTGGCTAGGTAGGTCGGTGAAGGGTGTATGAGTGAGTGGGTGAATAGAAGACCTTATGAATATATATAAGTAGGGTGGATGGGCAGGTGGAAACCTCTGGCTGCAGATGGAGATCTTGGTGCACAACCTTGGCACTTTTCAGGTGAGTAGTGGCTTATCTTCTGACCCCACCTTGGCTCAGTTTAACTCCATGGACACACATTCTCTTTTTCTAGGTTTGGCTTTCCTCCTATGTCTCTCTGGGTCTCCAAGAATCCTATGCTGGAGCTCAGATTGAACTGAGCCCTTGGCTTGTGTGCTGACCTCCTCAGTGGTAAGAACTCCTGGGAAGGAGCCTCCGTCTTCCTGAGGATATGGGCCCCAACCTACTCTCCCTGATTCCAGTGGCTTCCTTTTAAGCCAGAAATCTCTGCTCTCTGGCAGCCTCACCCACTTCTCCCTCAGACATCAAACCATCCCATCAGCTCCCCACTCTTTCTGCTACACCCCTGGGTGGAGTCCTTCTGCCTCCACCCAGCTCTCCAGCCCAATTTCCACTCTATCCTGGGCCCCTCCCCTGGGGGTGGTGGAGATACAGTATAAATTAGAGGAAGGACTCATTCAGGGCAGTTTCCTGCTTCTAGTCCAAGAATTCGTCTTTTCTCCCCCAGGGCTCCCAGGCGACCATGGATGTGGGTCTCTTGGTCCTCCCGGATGTACCGCAGGGTCACCGCAAAACTCTGCCGGGAGCGCGGGTCCGAGGTCCGGCCGTGCGCCGGCAGCGGGAGTTCATGCCGGAAGAGAAGAAGGACACGGTTTACTGGGAGAAGCGCCGGAAGAACAACGAGGCGGCCAAGAGATCCCGCGAGAAGCGCCGTCTCAATGACGCGGCCCTGGAGGGCCGGCTGGCCGTCCTGCTCGAGGAGAACGCTTTGCTCAGGGCTGAGCTGCGGGCGCTCAAGCATCGCTTTGGCCTCCTGCCCAACACGGGTGGGACCCGGACCCTGCCTACTCTGCTATGGGACTCCCCCTGGCCTGGGGACCCCAGTCCTAGGGCTGATCAGACCCCGACTCTACCTGGCTCCCACGGCTGCCTCTTGAGACCGTGTTCCCTGGACGCTGGGGTTCCAGGATGCTGGCGCTGCCTAGTGGCTCACAGGTGGACTAGCCTGGCCACTCCCCCCAGGTCTCTCCCGGACCCTGCCTCCAAAAGAGTGGACATGGCCTTGCAGGCTGCCCTGCCAGCTGCCTTCTTCAGCTGTCACCTCCTGGATAGGCATGGGAGCCCCAGACCAGAGCTCAGGCCCTGCTGGGGGCTGTGGTCACCCATACCCACCGTGTGCCGGGCCTCAGGGTCCTCGGAGGTGTTGCTGACACCTGGTGTTGATCCCATGGGGTTGCCTCCCAGAGTGGCCTGCCCGGTCCCTGAGAACCATCCCCGAGAGGATCTGGCTCAGGCCTCCCTGCCCCACAAATTGCGAATCAAGTCCCGAGCTTCCAGCAGAGAACCTTGGGTCTAGGAGGGTGGCGGGAGCCCATCTGAAAGCTTCCCCTGGGCAAGGCCAGGCCTGCAAGGGTGTAGTGGGGACTGATCGTGGGTTTGTCTGGGAGTATGAGTGGCTTGGTTTTGACCCAGCTCCAAATACTGGGCAAGGCTGGGGGTAGAATTTACTTTTTAGTGTTCAGACCAGACTTTTAAGAGGAGAGTCTGTGGGACCTTGGGTCATACCATGGTTCCTATTCTGCCTGAAATATGTTTTGGGTAGTCACTTTTTCTCCCTCTTTCCATTTGTCCATTCATCCATCCATCCATCAATCCATCCACCCATCTATCCTTCTGTCTACCCTCCCATCCATTCACTGATCCTTGCATGTGTCCATCTTTCCACTCATCCATCCACCCATCTATGCGTTTGTCCATCCATCCACCCACCCACCTATCCATCCTACCTTTCATTCATGCATCAATCTATCCATATACCCACCAATCCATTCATCTATCCACCCATCTATGCATTTGTCCATCCATCTATCCGTCCATCCTTCCTTCCTTCCATCCTTCTGTCTATTCATTCATCTAAACACTCAGCCATCTAATCACATCAACTCACCCACCTATCCTCGCTTTCTCCCTCCTTCCTCCCATCTATCCATCCTTAGATCTATTGATCTATCCACCCAATCACTTTGCTGTGAATCTACACACCTATCCATTCATCCATTCATCTACCTACCCATATGTCTATCCATTCATTGATTCTTTTATACATTTAATCACTCATTCATGTGCTCAGTTGATCATTCATTCATTCTCTCACTCATTTGTTTACAATTCATAGTGCCCAGCTTAGTAACAAGCATGAGAACACATTTCTGGCTTTGGGATTCCTATTATAGGGGGATGGTGGGTACTGGGAACAGACATACTGAGGGCCATACTGAAGGAGGAGGTAACATCTTAGGATGTCTGACCCCTCACTTCCTGCAGGGGCGGGTGTGTGTACTTACCACCTGGTGTGGGTGTCAGACTTACCCAGTTCAGGTGGCTTCCTCTGTTCACTGAGTCACAGCCTGAGCCTCTGGAACAGGCCCTCAGTGTCTAAGGGTGTGTATGTTAGTCTTCTCTCTCTCTTTGGCTACTTGTACCCTAGAAGACCTCTCAGCCCCAGTACACATCCTGGGCTTGGAGACTTACATCTCCCAAAAGATCCTGAGGAGGCAGGAAGGAGGGCTGCCTGGAAGTGGCAGCTCTAGCCTGTTCCCTTCTTAGCCAGAGCCCACTGTTAGAAAGGGGTAGACTGGGGGTGCAGAGAAGTTGGTTCTCAACAAAAAGATGCCACATAGTTGTGGCTGATCCTGCATAGAGGCCTTAAATGCAGGCTTGGCTCTAGAAATGTTAAAAAATGCTAACAAGCAGACAGAAGAAGGAAGTCAGGGCATACCATACCACCTCTGGGAGATGTGGGTAGTTTGGTGCTTCCTCTTGGTGAGTCCACTCACCTGGTGTGTCTGAAGTGTCTGAGCCCTGCTCACTCACACCTCATGTACTCAGGGGAATGGGGGTTGGCGGCCCTTGGATCATTCAAGTCCCTTTTAACCTTCCAGCTCCAGTTGGAAAAGCCCAGAGAAGGATCTACCTAAAACAGGTCATAGAATTTCAACATCAGGAGGGACTCCAAGAATCTAGTGATGAGTGTTTATCCAGTCTCTACCTGAATTCCTCTAGGGGTGGAGAACTCACTCCCTTCAAAATCCCATTACCATTCCTTCTCTAGAGCCAGAACCACTGCTTGCAAACTTCTACCTCTGGTCCTATTCTTACCCCAGGAGACCACTCAGATCCCCTCCCCCACCCCTCCCTCTACTTGGAGGTGGCCTGTGAAGCCTCTGGTTCCTCTTCTCCAAAGTAGAGACCACCACACCTACCTCAGATGGTTTGAGAAGATTAAATCTCATTTACTGTGTGCATAGCACTTCATACACAAGTGTTTGACAGATGTTAACTCCTCTCTCTTCTTTTCCTTTTTAGAAAGCACTTATGCTCCCAACCCCAGAGTAGTGCTGTCTTCAGGGGAAATGTCCTCTCATTCTTCAAAATTATTTCCCTTCACCCTGACCTGGCTCTTTACTATTTTTTTGTCAATGCCATTTATACATGATGGCTGTTGGGACTGAATATGAATTTCTTCATTCATCAAATACATTTTTTTTTTCAATAAATTTTTTTTTGATCTCCTACTGTGTGTCAAACAGGAATTGGATGAGGGAAGAAGTATTCCACACTGAAGTGTTTGCAAGTGGAAACTTGCACAAATGTCTAAACTGTTCACCCAAGACATGTCAATTACTCATTTGACGGGCTCTGGGGCCATAGGTGTGGCCTCTACCCTCTGACAGCCAGTGGGCAGCTGCAGCCTTCCCTGTGGCTTCCTGGGAGTTGCTGCTGTAGGAACTATCCAGTGCCATGTTCCACCCTGGGGCATCCATGGGCCCCTTGGTTCATGTCTGTAACCACGGGATTGAATTGGGGACCGGATTTTAGGACACTGTGCAACCACATGTTATGTTTCCTCTTCCAGTCATCCTTGTAGGCTGGGGAGATTTCTTCGGCTATCAATGCATGAGATTCCCTTCCTGCTTCAGGTGTGCCTGGCTCATATTGAATGTGCAACAGATACTGAATGAAAGTTTCTGCCAACCTGATTGGTGACTGCTGGGGGCAGAGATAAAATGAGTTGAAGATATTGATGAGGCCACGTTTCTCTGCTTTGTCTGTAAGGGTTCACAGACATAATCTTGAACATCTTGGCGGAACACTGTGCCACCTGGATCCCTGACACTCAAGTCATGATCCATGAGCCGCATCATCAGGATCACTGGGAGCTTGTTAGAAATGCAGAGTGTCAGGCTCCTCCATGAACTGCTGAGTCAGAAGCTGTGTTTTAACAAGATTCCCAGGAGACCCGTATGCACATTGAAGTTTGAGAAGCAGTGACCCAGAGCAGAGGTTGGCAAACTTCCTGTACGAAGCAGTCAGAGTGAATATTTTTGACTTTGTGGGATGGCTGCTGTTGCATCTACTCCATCTTTTCATTGTAGCATGAAAGCAGCCATAGACAGTATGTAAATAAGTGGACATAGCTGTGTTCCAATAAAACTTTATTTCCCTAAACAGGTGTAGCCTGAAATGGCCCAAGGGCCATAGTTTACTGTTGGTATATACCCAGGAGAGAAATTGTAGACCTGCATGGTGTTTGCCTTCAACCTTGACATTGTCAAAGTGTTCCACTGAGTGGTATTACCAATCCATACTCCTTTGCATGCAGAGGATGTCCATGTTTTGCTGACATATGATGATTTTTCTGAACTGTTTAGTTTTTGCCAATCTGGTGAGTGTAAAATGAATTTAACCTGCATTCATCTGCTGAACATCTTTGCCAAAATCTGTTGGCCACTTGGGTTTCTTCTTCTATGAATTGCCTGTTCTGCTGGGATATTTACCTTTTTCTTGTTGATTTCTCAGAGCTCTTTATGTATTCCAGATATACATCCTCTGTCATATGTGAACATCACAGTGTTCTTGCCTGACTTGTCTTTTCATCTTTTTTTCTGGCAGATTTTGTTGAAGACAAGTTCTAAAATCAGATGTTGCCAAATGTATCCTTCTTTTCTATTGCAGTTGTACATTTCTGTCTTGTTTAAGAATCCTTCCATACCTCAAGGTCATGAAGATAGTCTCCTAAATGTTCCCATAAATGTTTACAAATTTTGCTTAATCCATCTCTTTGTGTATGCGTGTGTGTCATCTTGTGGTGGGTTGTGGTTTAGTCCCTAAGTCATGTCCGACTCTTGCAACCTCATGGACTGTAGCCTGCCAGGCTCCTCTGTCTATGGGATTTCCCAGGCAAGAATACTGGAGTGGCTTGCCATCTCCTTCTCCAGGAGATCTTCCCGATCCAGGGATCCAACCCTGGGTCTCCTGCATTTCAGGCAGATTCTTTACCTCTGAGCCACCAGGAAAGCCCTTCATCCTCACAGAGAATGTAACTAATCTTGTTTCCCTTTTTGCTTTGGCCACCAGGGGGCTTGGGGCTAAACTTATAGCTCAAGTCATCATAACCGTTCATTCATTCATTCACTTAGAAAATTCCTTTACTCATTTAGGAAATATTTATTGATTGGATACCATGTTCCAGGCACTGAGGAAAGAGCAATGAACAATCTTGACTCTGTAGTGCCAGCAGCCTAGTAAGGGAGATATATAAAAGAAATAAACAAGAAAAAATGTATAGTAGGGTCAGTGGTGATAAATGTCATGGAGAACAAAGAGGTAAGGGGATTGGGAGAGGTAGCATTGGGTGAGTTATAAAAATTGAAATTGAGATATCAGGAAAGGCCCTACTGAGAAGGTGACATTTGAACAGAGACTTGAGGGAGCTATATATGTACTGAGGGAAGACCCCCACCTTCAGTGAAAAGAACTGTCTGCGCCAAGGTCTGGAGATGGGACCATGCCGGGAGAGTTGGTGAAACATAGAGGAAGCTCATGTGGCTGAGGCTGTGATGGAGGGGGAGAGTGGGAGGAGGTGGGGACAGGGAGGTGATGGGGGGCAGGTCATGCAGGGCCTGTGGGTCGAGGTGAGGACTCTGGTTTCCTCTCTGAGTGAGGTGGGGGTGCCGGGGGAGTTTCTGAGTGTATTTCTGCTATAACTGTCCTTCTTTCCCACCCCACTCTATCCTGTGGTGTGTGAGACTGAGTGAAAATAAATAAAGCCACCATACTAGCACAGGAGAGCTGGCTGGCTCATCATCTTGAGAAAGGGGGTGACTGACCACAGCCTTGCTGTGACTCATCTTCCCACGGGTGGCCACAGGCGCCCCTCCCCCAGCCCCCCACCAAGTTGCTCATCTATCCCTGTTTCTGACACTCTCTGAGCTGTGAGGGGCTGAAGCAGGTAAAGCTGCTCCATGAGGAGGATTCATGGAAGGGAAATGCACGTGGTTTTCTTTTCTGCTTTGT